GAACACTGTGACCTTTACCTATATATAGTCGATCCACTTGTACTATTATTCCTTAACTTGATTCTACTGGGTTTTACCTTGACTTGTATATTCTCTTGAGTTAATTCTCTTGAGTCTGATCACGAACCCTCTATACTCTTGGATCGCTATCCTTGAGTCCGATACATCTTCTCTTAGACCGTTTGTCTTTGAGTCGATACTGATTCCTCGTCTAGACTTAACCGTTGAATATGAAACCCTTCTTCGGCTGTTGCCTTAGAAGCTTACCTCTCCCTTCCCATTCTGTCACAACCTGACGGCTTAGGCTACCAGGTATATTGACGTTCAACCGATACACAACACGATAGCTTAGGACCGTCATTGTTACAGTAACCCCATCTATTTTCCCATCATCACGCTTCTCTGTACCATTCTTGTTATCTTTGATTGCTTATTAACATGCACTGCATGGACATTCCAGATAGTTCTTTCACGTTCTTCTTGACTCTGTTTACTTCCATAGTCGGCCTGGTCCATGCCTCTTCTGTTCCCTATAAATACCGTGGTAGTTGTACTTGTATTTCTCTAACTTGAATCTACTTGGTTCTCTCTGATACTTGATCATCTTCTGAGGAAGATACTTGATTCCAACCTAGCTCTTATAAGAGACTAGTCTACACTCGAACTTCACTTAGAAGGAGAGCCCTTCAAGTGTCTGAACCGAACGTCGTAACAAGAAGAACTCCTTTATTGGATTAGTTACGCAAGAACTATCCAAGTCGTAACAAAAGATTCAAGTTACTCTGAGCCCCTCTATCACTGAGGGACCCACTCATCTTGAAACCCTGAACCCAGAATAGAAAGACAAGACGTCTTCTCAGAAACTAACCTCGGCTAAGGCAAGACACGCCGCCGCAGGAATCCTAGGAGGAGACACATACCCAAGAATACAGAGAACTCCTGCTCAAACCCCGCAGAACCCATTCTCATCCCTATTAGCAGGACCACCCACTATAACCAGAGGGGTCATTGCATCACCAATAGGATACAGTTCACTTGATGAAGGATCATCACAGAGCCAGGAACAATCACAGCAAGAATACTCTCAGAATCCACCCGTTGATAAAGACGAAGAAATCCCTTACGCGCCGCCTCTAAACTTTGACAACGAGGAAGAAGAAGACGACGAAGAACCCGAAGACCCAGAAGACCCTGAACCCCAAGAAACCACTATGGCAGGAAGAGGAGACAAACCCGCTGAATGAAAGGTCGGATACCCACCTGAATTTTCCGGAGATAGAGAGAAATTTTCCCAATGGCTTTGCCTAGTCAAGTCATACATCGAGATCAACGATGAAATCTACGACACCGATAAGCGAAAAATTATCCTTGCCCTTTCATTCATGAAAGAAGGACCAGCAGCCCTATGGATGGAAGATTTTATTAACTTCACTAGAGAAGACAACCCAACCTCGATGATCAGAGCAAAGAACGGCTTTGGAACCTGGAAGGACTTCAATGCCAAGATGAAAGAAAGTTTTTCCCCAATAGACTCCGTAGGAACAGCTCTCTACAAACTCCGCAATCTCAAGCAGAAAGACGACCTCGGCGAATATATTGCCACGTTCAAACAACTCGCCCAGAAAGCTGGAATCAACAACTTTGCTGCCGTAAAAGACTACTTCTTTAACAGCTTGAACTATAACATCGTTCAGAAGCTTTGTAGTTCCGGAGAAATCCCTGAAGATGCGGAGAAGCTTTTCAAGAAAGTTATTAACATCGAAAACGCTTACCAACTCCTCCGCTCGCACAACACCCATCATTCAAACCATCATAACAAGAAGAAGAACAAAAGCCATAAACCAACCCGATTCTCAGGAACTCCACAAGATGAGAACGCAATGGACGTAGACCGTCTTACCGAAGATGAGAAGCGCGAATACATGAGGCAAGGAAAATGCTTCAAATGCGGAAAGGTCGGACATCATGCGAATGATCGCACATTCCATCCCAAAGATTCCGGAGATGACCGAAAGAAAGGAAAGGGAAAGCAGCCAGTAAGACGCGAAGCGTCTGATGATGAAGACTCCTCCAGCAAGATTGAAGAAGAAGACGATGAATCTGTTAGGAGATGGAACTTGGATTTTTAACCTCGGAGCCTGCCGCAATGTCAGACACTCCATATATCGATGTACGTATAGCCAAGAATGTAGGAAAGACTAAAGAATTCAGGGTCCCGGCGACCATCTTTTCCTCTGTACATCCCGATAAAGCATTGCACACGACCACCATAGTAGACTGTGGCACAGGGGCAACATTCATCAACTGGATGTTTGTCCGGAAGCATGGAATCAAGATCCATAAATTCAACAAGCCTTTCTCTATCCGAAACGCCGATGGACAACTCTCAAAGAAGCAATGTACCCATTATTGCCATCTGGCTATAAAGATTGACAAGCGCCTGATGATCGGGAAATTCAACGTAATGACCATGGGAGAGAGGGACATGATTCTCCTCGGCAAACCATGGCTATCGGCCATGAACCCCGACATCGATTGGGTAAAGGACACCCTCAAACTCCCAGCTACTCCACATTCTCAGAAACTAGAACAAGAATATCAAGAAATGTGGAAAATCCCCATCCCTCTTCCCCAATACGACACCAAGGATGACGTATGGGACGATGTCCCTACTGAAACCTTATTTGCCCGAAAAGTGGAAGATGTCTCCACTTACCCGATCAATGATGATGAAGTACTCATCGAATACTCCCCTGATGGATCAACTGTCAGAATCATCGAAAACCTTTCCCTTGATACCCCTCTCACTCGGGATGGAACATCAGCGATTGAGCTTAAACGAGCAATTTCGATACAACCTCTAAGAAATCAATGGATATTCTCAAGGAAAACCGCTGATGAAGAATACCTGAAAACCAGCAATAAGGCTCAAGAATTCGCCCTGAAAGATGCACAAGAAAAGAAGAAGAAGACCTTCGAGGAGCTCGTCCCATCTTATCTCCATGACTTCGCCGACATCTTCGCTAAAGATGGGTTAAACAAACTACCTCCCTCTAGACCAGGGGTGGATCATAGAATCAAAACCAAACCTGGCTATGTCCCTAAATCAGCGAAAACTTACCCGTTATCCCAGAAAGAAACCGAAGCTGTGAAAGCCTTCTTAGACGAACATCTTTCGAAGGACTTTATTCAACCATTGAAATCTCCTCAAGCCAGTGGTTTCTTCTTTGTCGGAAAGAAGGATGGTTCTCTTCGCCCCTGCCAAGACTATCACTACATCAATGAATGGACGATAAAGAATGCATATCCCCTTCCCCTGATTCCCCCTTTGATTGCGAAACTACAAGGCGCCAACTACTTCACAAAGATGGATGTTAGATCAGGATATAACAATATCCTGATTCACCCTGATGACCGTTGGAAAGCTGTGTTCACCACCTCATTCAGACTCTTTGAACCAAAGGTCATGTTTTTTGGCCTGTGCAACTCGCCAGCCACGTTTCAAGCATACATGAATCAAACTTTCGGAAAAGAGATTGACGAAGGATGGATGATCGTTTACATGGACGACATCCTGATCTTCTCGAAAACGCTCAAAGAACACCAGAACCAAACCCGCCGTATTCTCGAAATCATCCGGAAAGAAACCCTATTCCTAAAGCCAGAAAAATGCACCTTTGATGCCCAAGAAGTGGACTATTTAGGAATGATCATTAGACCCGGACAAGTGGCGATGGACCCTGCCAAACTCTCCGGTATTAGTGAATGGCAAGTCCCATCTTCAGTAAAAGAAGTACGATCATTCCTTGGATTCTGCAACTTCTACCGTCATTTCATATCCCATTACTCCGACCTCGCACAACCTTTGATTGATCTAACAAGAAAAGATGTAACTTTTACATGGTCGGAGGCTTGCGAAAGCTCCTTCCAGAAGTTGAAGAAATGCTTCCTTTCTGAACCTGTCCTCCGAAACCCCGATCCTTCTCGACAATCCGCACTCGCCACCGATGCCTCCCTTGTTGCCACGGGAGCTGTCTTACTACAGACAGATGAAAACGGAGCCTATCATCCTTGTGGATACCTCTCCCAATCCTTCAACCCAGCTGAACGGAACTATCAGATCTATGACCGGGAACTCCTTGCGATCATCCGAGCCCTGAAAGCCTGGTGCCACTATCTTGAAGGAAATCCACACCCTGTAGTAGTATTCACAGATCACAAAAACCTCCTTTATTTCCGATCAGCACAGAACCTGACACGTTGCCAAGCACGTTGGCAATTAACCCTTAATGAGTTCGACCTAGAACTCCATCATGTTGCAGGAAGCAAGCTTGCCGCCTGTCACGAGTTCCAAATACAAACCATTATTCTTTTCTTTCCACTATCGGTATTAAGCGCCCATTCCCAGCGCTAACTCCTAAATGCCCAAAACACGTGTCAAACCCTAACCCTATTCCTTTTGCTACCATAACCGAAATACCTGAACCAGACATAGACGCCTTAACATCACGTGATTCTCACCTGAGTGTCACCATTAATCTTACTAACTAGTAATTGTATCACACGCCCCATCCTGTTACTAATTAGTAACAGATATTATATTTCCCCTATACCAGCAATAATATTAGCAAACCAGCAGTCCCTTAGCAAAATCAAAGTGCTCCCACAGCGTGGCTTATTTAATGCGCTGCCTACTACCCAAATAGGTATGACCGGAAATATCCGGATGCGGCACTGATTTCCCGACACTACGTTGCGCTTTCTCACGACTATGTTCTTAGCCGTGCTCGTTGTGCACGACATTGAGCTCCTACATGTCGCTCATTTTCTGCTCGATTTTCACCAGATGTTCTCTATCCTATTTGTCTATGCTACCGGCATGGTATGACCTGCTCCAAGACCTCTAATATTACTGGATCGTCTAACTAATACTATCCGACTTCCCATGACATATCCTCGTGGTCTGTCCTTGTTCTCACACTCCCTTGGTCCCGACCACCATGTCCAACCGCAAACGCAAGTTGAATTCTACCTTTGGCACCATTCACGAAACGATCATCACAGATACTGGCACCTTAAGAACATCTAGAGCCAATCTCAGCAAAGTCCGTGCGGATAGACTCGCACTTGAACGTGAAAACTTGGGGAGTCACCGAGGTATGTAATCCGTCTTTCTTACATTTTGAATACTCACAACAGACAGAAGAGCTCAGTGCTGCCACACGAGAAGTCCTGGCCGAGGCCGCCATCTATGCAAACAAGTACTCAGACGATGTCGGCGACTCGATTATGGACTTCGGTGGTGTTATTGGTGCAGGAATGGCTATGGATGGTGACGTCGTTGATAGCGATGACTCAACAGAGGAGAACGAGCATAGCGAGATGCAATCCCCGGCCGCTGGCTATGACCGGCATGCAGTTAGTGCTGCAAGAATGCAAATATTCAATAGGTATGTTTACCCGCATCTGTATTTTCTTATTTTCTTACGAACTAATTCTTTGTAGCATTCAAGGTAGACGCCATCATCGACGTGCACCCCTGCAGCCGCCTCATGCGCAATCGCGCAATGCATTCTGCATGGCAGGATCAAATGCCGTCACTCGCTCGGGCGTTTTTACTGTGGAAGGAGAATCCTTGTTTACCATCCGCTCAAGCCCCAACAACTTCATTTCACGTCACCATGGTTGATATTAGTGAGTTCCGCTCCACCAAGTTGACCGCTACTTAGTGTATCTATAGGCAATGTACTCGAAAAATCTGTCGACCAAGCCCCCAACGAACTCGCCAATGTATCACTCTTGAAGTCTGGCTACCTCGGCTGCTCTCCTCTTCAACCCACACTTGCAATATCTTTGGGTTGCCTCGAGCTCTATCACCAAATACGCTGGAGAAAGCCATCATTCAGTGTGCAGGGGATGGTGAAGGTACTATGCTCTCTTCACAATGTAAGTCTCCAGCGTCTATGGTAATAATCACTGACTTCGAGTAGCGCACTTATTTTCAGTCCTTACGCGACCAGTTTGCTATCGCGTTCGACACGTATCTTGCCATTTTGCGCGAGGTGAGAACGCTCGTCGATCAAGCACTAGGTCGAGACACGCCACATTGGTGTATGCTTCATGCATGCCCAGCGTGCAACTACAAGGTACTGTAGCTTAAATTTGTTGCGAGTATACTTACCATGCTGTGTATATCAGCAACCTGATGAGCCCCCTCTTTATCCTGCACGACTCGACGCCTTTGATGGCAACAACTCGCTGAAACGAGTTGACGGCTCTGGCCATGCCGACGAACATTCTTTCCCATCTACGTATCTTATCCCCGCTGCTGAGGTGGATCTATTCAAAGACGACGTCCGCCTTCGCCCAGGGACCCGAATGACCACAGGCGACAATGTCTATCTCTCAAACATCCCAGGGACCCAAGCTACCACAGGGGATGAGGTCCTTCCATCAAACGATTCGACATGTACCGAAAACTGGAGGGTCGCAAACACGACATCTGAAAACAGCACCAACGTCTTCGATCAGACCGGTGTCTTTGTTAGTGCATGTCGCCATGGTATTGTTCAAACTTTAGTTGAACTGCGACGAAGCGGTGAACTGTATGTACAACTTTTCATCTTTCATTTCACTCGCTCAAAGTATTATATGTATTTATGAAGTGCGAAATATGCCCTCGCAACAGCAAATAAACTGATTGACGTGTACGGAGCCAATGGTGTGACTGGATACGACATCGGGTGTTCTTTTTCCAAGACAATTGCTGCAAGTTCGGTTGCTGACAAAGTCAAGACAGTCAACCATCGTTTCGTTGTCAATGCTTTTCACGGGCACGCTCACAACCGCCGTTGTCAACTCCAGTATCATACACTTTATCAGAAAGGTCTGGGGATTGAAGATCTCGAGACTTGTGAGCGTGTCTTTGCGGGTTCAAATGCTGTTGCCCCACTTATACGGCATGCATCATATTTTCATTGGCTGCAATTTATCGACCTTCAATTTGATCAATGGGATCTAGATCGCTATCAAGAACTCAGTAGGTCGATTTCTCAAGTCTCGACTTCATAAAATGAATGAACTCATTATTTCTTATCTAGGTCAGTTTCTGTACAACAACTATAAGCAGGCGCTTCACATCATCAACGATCTCACGCCCGTCGTCCAGGAGTTGAAACAACAGCTCGATCTTTCAGATGCCGATTTCGAGCAATGGAACATCGAAGAACTTCAATATCTGGAGGCTCTTGCTGCAGAACCAGAGTACGATCCAGAGAAGATCGCATACGTCGAGGCCCTGCAGTCGTTGGCCAAGGCTGAGTAGGTGCCTCGTATGTCCTAATACTTCATTTCTGATATATTTATAGAGCTGAATATGGTAGCATTACTTCCGTTCAATTTCTTTCATATGCGCCGGCCGATTTCACACAGAACTCAGGTCTACGCAAGGTCCACAAACTGCAACCAAAGCACATGAAGCTGAACGCCGAGCCGCCCACAATAAGCTTGCTCTCGAAATGAATGCAGCGCTTGACTTAGAGCACCGGCTTGGTCTTACGGAGCGCTGGACACCACGTGATCCTCAATATCAAGAAGCGCTCGAATATTTGAACAATAATCGGTTCATACGTGCAGTCCAGCGTCTCGAAGGACTTGTTGTACAAAGACTGTTCGAACTTGCCAAGGCCAACTTGGCTAGTACAGGTATGTGCGTCATCACTATACATTTCTATCTACTGATTATAATAGGTTATAAAATGCGCCAACAGATATCCAATGCAATAACTCGCCGTTCGAGTGCGATTCGCCATGCACTGGAACACTACAATCAACTCGCGTGTCTGCAATCCCCTCCATGAGACATTCTCAAGTTTAGCGAAGTTGCATCGTATGCATGGCTTGGCGAGTTTGAGTTGCTCAAAAGCTCACGGCGGGAAATCTTAACCAAACCTTGGGCTTCAAAAGCCAACAGAGAGGTGGCAGGCAAGTACTTCAAGATAATTTGTGCACGCGAAGAAATTGAACGCCTCAACATTGAGATCTCTCGTCTTCAACGATGGCTCGAGGATGAGGACGCTCACTTACTCACTACTGCGACATCATTGGAAGCCAATCAACCTGCACTTGCCCACGAAATTCACCGCCTGCATGATAAGCGTGTGCGCATGAACAATGTCCATCGTGCACGCCTCCAGGCAATCTATGGAATACCAGGTTTTTGTGGTATACGTGTGCTGGAGACCTCTAATGATGCAGATATGGGTGCAGTAATTGACGAGCTACAGAGTGCTGCTCCCATCGAAATAGATGAAGACGATATCTTGTGTGACGAAGCGGCTTGTTTAGAATCATGTATTACATAGTGCTGTCAAATACTATTCATGTTCTACCACTATTGCTAGGATTATTGGACGGTTCAAAGTTACAGTCCTCTCAAATGAGTCACTACATGCTCCCCAGTAATTCCAGGATCGTTTGTCCAACTCCATCCCCAAACCCGTTTACAAACAAACCTCCTTGAAGGACCAGGAGTCGCAATGTGCTCCCCAGTCATTCCCCGTTTATCGAGGAGTCCAACTCCAAGCCCGTCATTATCAACAAACCTCTGAATTTATGTTCCGAGTCACTGGCACTGGCCGCTTCAAAGCAACCACCGTAAACTCCATTGAAGCTGTTGTTGAGTCTTTCGACTAGATGACCCATGACAACCCACTTACGCTTGTGTCTAAGGTTCCAATGTTCAACTGACAGTGGTCGCTAACTCTAGCTCAGAGTCAATCCAAGTCTCACACAGAGCCGGAACAGTTTAATTAGTATGTATCCCAATCCAACATCTTTCTCAGAGTGCTAGGGCCGCCGCAATCGATATTTCTTTGTACGTATCACATAGCACTAGCATACAGTGAACTGTCTGACTGTTTAAACCAATTGCAGCCTCTGACCATCGCCATAGAACAGGTTGTGATAGCATAGATCGCTATAAGGCCAATGTTTTGATATCAGCCATGACCACATTCACAGCATATTAAGTCCGTCATTCATTCCTCTTGGAGCCTCTTAATTTCTTGCTTCATTCTCAAAACTCCATTGTCCCGCAGACTGACCATCTTCAAGACTTACCATCTTCAATACCGATGTTCAAGAACTCAATTGCAAGCTTCCAATGGCTTGATCTAGCCTGCAACAGTAACAAAAATGTGCGTTCCGCACTACTAGTATCTCGTTGCCAACTCTGATCAATTATTTTTGAAAACTGACTTGGATTTCAGACAACTAGTATCGCGGTGACACTGCACACGCAATTTGTTTTCGAGCCGCATGGCACCACTCATCATCATAGGCCTGGACAGCCGAGAATACTGCCTGGTGATGGGCTAAACGAGCCCACTGTCCTCATCACCACTCGAAAAGTTGCTCCATTGGGGACCATGCAACAGCAGTTGGACCACACCAATCTAGACCCAACAATAGACTTGCTGGAGGAGATTTTTGCGTCCTCGATTGCAGACAGGGTCCGTAAGACTGTTTTCAATTGTAGTTGGAAAAAGGCGCCTAGTACTTCAGGTGTGTCTCGAACTTTTGCGGCTCATGTCAAATTCTGATTGTTATTATTTTAAAGGTTTAACTCAAGACAACATCTTCCAGGATGGAAGTCGCACTTCACTGCCATTTCCTCCCCTTCCTGCAGCTATTCGGGAACCTGCTGCCACTCCGAGGTCCACTCGTGGAAATATATCAACGCTCACTACTCCAAGACGTGCAGCAATGCTAGCTGAAGTTTCGCAGCGTCCTGACTTTGAGACTTGGCTTCTCGCAAATCAACGCACTCACGGAACTCTGTCTCGAGCACCAAACCATTCTGCTAGTGGTCCTGGTTCTCGCCGGCAGCCCATGCCCACTGTAACACCCACCCGTCGTCGTCAACCTACAACTACTACTCATCAGCGCACTATACCCTCCACTCATCAGCGCACTATACCCTCCACTCGCCAGTGACCCACACCAGCACGACCAAATATCCCAGCTGCTTCAACCCCTACTACAACCCAGTCGCATGACCTGGACTCCATGTATGCGTCTGATTCGTCTGATTCTATATCCTCTGTGTCATCTATGGTTAGTTTTTTTTTCACAACTTTCCAGGAGTTCTTTGCTAAATGAAATTCTTATTTTAAGCCTGATTCAATTATGGTTGTGCAGGACCGGTGCTTCCGAACAAGACGCAGAAGCCAGTGGTGGGTCCAGGCGCCGTGAGCCCATGTGGGACCAGCCCAGCCTTCCATCGCCATTTTCTGTATATGATTATCTTCAGCGTCTAGGTGCCTGAATAGCCGCACACATCACCCCCACCATATGACACCATCGTAAATAACCAGCCAGTTGTCTACATACAAAATGTGAGTGTTTTACTTGATACCGGTCTGAGTGTCTCAGTTGTTTTATTCAGGGAATTATTGTGAGGATCAACCAAAGTCATCAGTAGACATGTTGAAAGCAGCGTGACTGTCAGGGCCTATAATTTGATGTGTGTAGTGAACTTTAATACCCGCTCCAACCTAGAATCGAGCTTTGTTTCCAAGTGAATATATATATATATATATTGCAAAGTATAACTAGATGTTCCTTTAAATCTAAGTAAGGTCAAAAATTATCTGCAATTCCAACAGCACATTATCCATGGTCAACGCGTCAACATCAAAAGGCAAACGCGTCCGTGCAAAGCTAACAGATACCCAAAAGGCTGCCCTGCCACACAAAAGTAGTCAAGCTCGGCAATGCCATTACAACGGCGCAAGATGCGTATCATGAGGAGGCCTGTGCTATTGCCAAAGACAACGGACGGTAAGATCACTTACTTCGTCAAAAAATCATAGTACTTACTCTTGAACAGAAGCTTGAAGTGGACACGAAGGCAGCTCTATATTAGCAGAGGTATCTTCAACAAACGCGGACCTAATCCCTGGAATGCATTTGTCAAACAAAAACTGGATGAGGAGAACGAAGGTACTAACAAATAAAGTTTTCGGGCTGATACTGATACAAATGAAAGGATGTGCACCGGGAGATCGATTCAAGCTTCCTGCGTTTATCAAAGCCCGCAGTTCAGAATTGACGTCGACCTATTTGCATTTGACATCAGCCGACAAGAATCACCTGCGGGAGAATATCAACACATATCGCCAGTCACGTGTGAAGGTCACACGTGCAAACCCTAAGACACTACAAAAGGACGTGAATGCAACATTCAAAACAATGCAGACGGAGGTACTGGCACAAAATAATACATAGAAATGTGACTTACTTGTGGTTGAACAGTGGGCTAGCATCCAAGCGCGAACAGGCCTCGAGGGAATGTATATTGCAGTTCGCGGTGATGTCGAGCAATACCACGAACCCAAACTATTTTATACAGCAAAGGTCGGGTCATTCATCAAGGACGTTCTCGGCATGGAACCAAAGCGCTTTGCACTCAAAGTCGAGTCCTGGGTAGTCGGAGACTTTGGTAAGAAAAAGGCATACAATAAACATGACATACTCAACTTTCATGTAGATAGTGGTGGCACAGTCAACCGACGACTGTCATTAACAAAACTCATTAGCCTATGCCGCCAGCTCATCCAGGACGGACTTGGTACGTCGAGCCATAATTCTTTCCAGGTACATTTCCTGAGATTAGTCATACAGATATCGTTCTTCCCACTTTGAAGCACCCGCCGAAAAAGAAGGTCCAAATGAATTACGATAATTACGAAGGCAAGATTGTAGAGGCTTACGGCGTGGCATTGGAAAATTTTCCGGGCGCTGTTCGAAATCCTGGAAAGATTGGGCATCGTGAAGACTTGATCAAGTTGTATGACTTACTTTTCAAAGGAACATGCTCGTGGACAAAGCTTACAAATGACGAGCTCGTGGAACGCGTTGCCAAGAATAAACAACGCCAGGCACACTGGTGAACAAATCTACAAGGCTCGTAAGCGCCAAGAAAAGGCCTCCATAGCAAAAAGCACAGAACTGGTGGAAGACACAGACGAGGATGGCGCGAGTTCGTCAGAGAGTGAGGTAGATTCACCTGGAGGCTTGATCAACATATTGTTGATATACATTTCCTGAAAGCCGTGGTATTCATGTGAAAACTGATGTTGCTGCCTGGACGACTAAGAAATTGTTTAGTTGATAAAAGGTGACTCACAAAATTCAACCGCGGCGCAGTAGTCATGCCCAATGACAAGGTTGAAGCAGTGAGTCCGGAAAGCCGCACAATCCGTATGAAGATGATATTGTCCTGCCTAGAGGAATAAGAAATTGACTAGTTGATGGAAGGGGACTCACAAACTTCAACCACGGCGCAGTAGTCATGCCCAATGACAAGGATGAAGGCAGTGGGTTGAGATAGCCGCACGATCTGTATGAAGACGATGTTGTCCGGCCTAGACGAATGAGAAATTGTCTGGTTGATAAAAGGGGACTCACAAAATGCAACCGCGGCGCAGTGGTCATGCCCAATGACCAGGTTGAAGGCAGTGAGTCCGGAAAGCCGCACAATCCATATGAAGATGATATTGTCCTGCCTAGATGAATAAGAAATTGTTTAGTTGATGGAAGGGGACTCACGAAATTCAACCGCGGCGCAGTGGTCATGCCCAATGACGATGTTGAAGGCAGTGGGTCCGGAAAGCTGCATAATCCGTATGAAGATGATATTGTCTTACCTAGATGAAGAAGAAATTGTCTAGTTGGAGAAAGGAGACTCAAAAAATTCAACCACGGCGCAGTGGTCATGCCCAATGACAAGGTTGAAGGCAGTGGGTCTGGGAAGCTGCACAATCCATATGAATATGATGCCGGTAGCGTAGACAAATAGAATAGAGAATGTCCGGTGAAAATAGAGTAGAAAATGAGCGACATGTGGGAGCACAACGTCGAGCACAACGAGCACGGCTAAGAACATAGTCGTGAGAAAGCGCAACGTAGTGTCGGGAAATCAGTGCCACTATCCGGACATTTCCGCTCATACCTATTTGGGTAGTAAGGCACTGTAAGGCAGCGCATTAAATAAGCCACACTTTGATTTTGCTAAGGGACTGCTGGTTTGCTAATATTATTGCTGGTATAGGGGAAATATACTATCTGTTACTAATTAGTAACAGGATGGGGCGTGTGATACAATTACTAATTAGTAAGATTAATGGTGACACTCAGGTGGTGATTCTCCTAGAACCTTCCAGAACTTCACAGAAGCAGCAATGCTTCTTATGACATCATAGTTTCCTTTTCACTCTATCACATCGTATGATCCTGTTTCCTATTTTATGATTGGCTAGTAGTTAGAACTCAGTTTGTATCTCCCCTTGAATAGTTGTATATAGTTAGGACATTGTTAGTTTTTCAGTTCAAACCTTTCATCTCTACATCTTGTAGCAGCCCAGAAACGTCCCTGCTCAATATCATCTCTTTTATCGTGATAACCTTCGTTCGAGTCCTGGTCTCTGCCCTAGCATTAAGTTGTTTAAGGGGTTGTGACACCGCCCCTGACGCCCTCTCACGCCGCCCTGATCATTCGGCCGATCAAACCAATAATGCCAATATCACCCTTCTTCCTGATGAGCTATTCGGACGACTCATTGATATCGACCTCGCTGCAGCATTGAAACTGCAAAACCCTCTCTCCGACCCAATCATCCTAGCAGCCCAACAGGCCCTGGACGGGCTCAATGCCCCTCCTATGAAGTCTGCGCTCTCCGACTGGCGCATTGAAGATAACACGCTCTTCTACAAGAATCGAGCCTATGTACCCGCGGATCTCCGACACCGTATCTTAACCCTTCATCACGATCACCCCACTGCCAGTCATCCTGGACGTTTTAAGACCGAAGAACTAGTTAAACGGGATTATTGGTGGCCCGGGATGGGTACCCTCATCCGAAAATATGTTGAAGGATGTACCATGTGCCAGCAAATGAAATCCGACACTCACCCCACGACTCCACCCCTAACTCCTATTTCGTCCACCACCCTGCGCCCCTTTGCTCAAGTTTCCGTAGATTTGATCACGGATCTCCCTCCTTCAGAGGGCTTCGACTCTGTCATGGTCGTGGTAGACCATGGGCTTATGAAGGGGGTAATTCTCTCTCCTTGCAAGAAAACCATCACATCGGAAGGAGTAGCCAAACTCTTTTTCAAGAAAGTGTTCCTCAGATTCGGCCTATATGACAAAATTATTTCCGATAGAGGCCCTCAATTTGCATCAAAATTTGCAAAAGAACTCGGGAGGCTCCTTGATTATGAAGTGGCCCTCTCCACTGCCTATCACCCTCAGACCAACGGCCAAACTGAGTGGTTGAATCAAGAACTTGAAACCTACCTCCGTATCTATTGCCGATCTGCTCCCCAAGATTGGGTAAAACATCTTCCTATGGCTGAATTTGTCCATAACCATCGGAAGCACAACTCCAGGAACACCTCCCTATTCTTCCTCATGATGGGCTATGAACCCAGAGGAATTCCTTATGCCTTTCCTGATTCTGCAATCCCTGCCGCAGAAGATAGGGTAAAACATCTCCAGAAGATCCGAGAAGAAGCTCTTGCCTGCCATAAACTGGCAATGCAACGCATGGCTGAACGATCATTCAGAAGGAAGTTTGAACCCTGGAAACATAAAGACAAAGTTTGGTTATCTGCTGCGCACCTTATCACCCATCTTCCATCAAAGAAGCTCGCACCAAAACAATATGGCCCTTTCGAAATCGAACAAGTCCTTTCCCCTATCACGTTCAAACTCCACCTTCCCAAATCTTGGAAATCACACCCCGTTTTTCATGCTTCTGAGCTATCGTCCAATCGAGAAACAGAAATCCACGGCCCGAACCACCCTGAACCACCCCCTGACCTTATCAACGGACAAGAAGAATACGAGATAGAAGTGATCCTCACCCACAAGGGAAACGTAAAAGGAAGACACCACTTTCTCGTGTCATGGAAGGGTTATCCTAGTTCAGAAAACTCGTGGCTACCCGAAAAGGAACTTCAGAATGCCCTAGAAACCCTAAAAACCTATAAAAAACGCCTCAAGATAGCCCGTCTTCTCCATTGAACTCCCACTCCCAGAACCAATCCCAGTAAAACAAATCATGTCCTCTTTCCAACTCTCTGAATACCTCAGTCTCATCGACGAGATTGAAACCGCTGCCCTTGTAGAATCCGCCATACTTTCCCCACAACACACCCTTGAGATAGAACGAATTCTAGCTGACAAAGGGGAAGACACCACTTATACCCTCGTCAATATCATCTGTATCACCAGTCTCTTCGAAACCATCGCTGAAAATGTCGATAACGCCGACGCCAAACGTAGCATCCTCCATCTTCAGAGGAAATTACGTACCCTCACTCTCCATCTTCTCCTGTTGCATTTCAAAGAGGACGTTTTGCAAGCCATACACACTATCGCCGAATGTATCGCGACTGAAGTAGCTGTCCCACCTCCTCCTCCTCCTCCCACTGCAATTCCTCCTACTCCTGAACTGACTCCCACACGACCCATCCCTCCACCACAACACACGCTCAAACGTTCTGAGCGTCAGAGAAGCTCTGCAAGGATTGCTGCCGCCAAATCCAAATCACGCTCCCCACCAAAGAACAAAGATCGCTGCTCACAAGCAGACATCGTAACCCCTCCAAAGTCATCTCAACCTCTTCCCCAGAACCCTGATGAACACTTCCGTTGTCGCCATTGTGGTGAAATGGGACATCGTCACAAGAATTGCCCTACCTACCACTGCAGGGTATGCTTTGTACTCGCACCCAAACATTTATCCGTCTTTTGCCCCCAACTCAATGGCGAGAAAATTCTCCCTATGGCGTACAATGAAGATGGCTTCTATAACGCCCTTGCTAAATGGGAAGCAGACCAAGATGAGATGGTTGAGCAGATTGAGCAAGAAGCAGAGGAACTCGCCAACAAACGCACAGGGGACGATCTCTTGCAATTTCATAATGCTGACGCGGATCTCGTCTACTACGATGATGCAAGGTTGGAAGATTGTTGAAGTTGGAGACTTCAAACATTGGTGAGGGGGTAATGTTACAGTAACCCCATCTATTTTCCCATCATCACGCTTCTCTGTACCATTCTTGTTATCTTTGATTGCTTATCAACATGCACTGCATGGACATTCCAGATAGTTCTTTCACGTTCTTCTTGACTCTGTTTACTTCCATAGTCGGCCTGGTCCGTGCCTCTTCTGTTCCCTATAAATACCGTGGTAGTTGTACTTGTATTTCTCTAACTTGAATCTACTTGGTTCTCTCTGATACTTGATCATCTTCTGAGGAAGATACTTGATTCCGATCTAGCTCTTATAAGAGACTAGTCTACACTCGAACTTCACTTAGAAGGAGAGCCCTTCAAGTGTCTGAACCGAACGTCGTAACAAGAAGAACTCCTTTATTGGATTAGTTACGCAAGAACTATCCAAGTCGTAACAGTCGTCCTTCGCTTACCCATCCCAGTCCAACTACGACGGTTGTTGTAACATTGCTCACTGTTTGCAGTGTGTGAGTGTTATGATCCTCGTTTGAGATCGAGCCATGCTGATCGAATCCGTTGCCCACTGTTCGCAGGCTGTGAGTGTGGTGATCCTCATTCAAGATCAAGCCATGCTGATCGAATCCATTGCCCACTGTTCCCAGGGTGTGAGTGTGTTGATCCTCGTTCGAGCTCGACCCATGCTGATTGAATCCATTGCCCACTGTTCGCAGAATGTGAGTTGGGTGATCCTCATTCGAGCCCGAGCCATGCTGATCGAAGCCATTCCCCATGTTCGCAGGCTGTGGGTGTGATGATCCTCGTCCGAGCTTGGGCCATGCTGATCGAAGCCATTGTCCACTGTTCCCAGCTTGTGAGTGTGATGATCCTCGTTCGAGTTCGAGCCATGCTGATCGAAGCCATTGCTCACTGTTTGCAGTGTGTGAGTGTTATGATCCTCGTCTGTGCTCGTGCCATGCTGATCAAAGCCATTGCCCACTGTTCACAGGCTGTGAGTGTGATGATCCTCGTCCGAGCTCGGGCCATGCTGATCGAATCCATTGCCCACTGTTCGCAGGCTGTGAGTGTTATGATCCTCGTCCGTGCTCGGGCCATGCTGATCGAAACCATTGCCCATTGTTGGCAGTTTGTGGGTGTTATGATCCTCATTCGAGCGTGAGCCACGCTGATCGAAGCCATTGCCCACTGTTCACAGGATGTGAGTGTATTGATCCTTGTTCGAGTTCGAGCCATGCTGATTGAAGCCATTGCCCACTGTTCGCAGGATGTGAGTGTATTGATTCTCGTTCGAGATCGAGTCATGCTGATCGAAGCTATGGCCCCCTGTTCCCAGCTTGTGAGTGTGATAATCCTCGTTTGAGATCGAGCCATGCTGATCGAATTCATTGCCCACTGTTCACAGGGTGTGAGTGTGATGATTATCCTAGTTCGAGCTTGAGCCATGCTGATCAAGGCCATTGCCCACTGTTCGCAGTATGTGAGTGTGATGATCCTCATTCGAGCTCGAGCCATGTTGATCGAAGCCATTGCCCACTGTTCGCAGGATGTGAGTGTATTGATCCTCATTTGAGCGCGAGCCATGCTGATCGAAGCCATTTCTTACTGTCTGCAGGATGTGAGTGTATTGATCCTCGTTCGAGCGTGAGCCATGCTGATTGAAGCCATTTCTTACTGTCCGCAGGCCGTGAGTGTGCTAATCCTCATTCGAGATCGAGCCATGCTGATCGAAGCTATGGCCCCCTGTTCCCATCTTGTGAGTGTGATAATTTTCATTCGAGATCGAGGCATGCTGATCGAAGCCATTTCCCACTGTCCGTAGGGTGTGAGTGTATTGATACTTGTTCGAACTCGAGTCATGCTGATTGAAGCCCTCACCAATGCCATTCCTGATATATTGACAGAAAGTCAGTGTGGTTATCCTTGGTCGAGCTTGCGCTCTGCTTATCACTGACATTTCGCATCTCCTAATAGTATGTGAGTGTTTGATCCTCAAACCTTACTCACGAACAATATCAACGATCAATCAATAGGACGTGAGTTTGTTCATCCTCCTTTGACCTTGGGCAATGCTGACCGAAGATATTATTCATTGACAGCGTGTGAGTGTGTCAAACATCTGCAAAGGGAGACGATTTTCAACTTCCTATCATGATTTCACCAGCTTCGGTCCATTCAATGTGAGGAGATGGAGGCTAGGTTACTCTCTGTGGTATGTCCAATTGCTCACAAACTACACACAATTCTCATGTTGAAAATTCCCCAGGCCTCTAGCTCATCGCCATTGGAGACAATTGTTCAGCTTAGCTCTGGTGAATTTTCAGGCAATATTGCAATGAATCTGCTTATTATTGATCATTTAGCTGCTGTTGTCATTTTTGAACACTCTTTCTACATTTTCGAAAAGCAGTGGCATCTTCATCACCAGCAGAACTCTGTTCCCTCTTATATTGAGGCTCTCGAGTCGTACATGGCATCTCCACATGCTGCTGCTGTCAGGGAAGCTATAAGCGCTGCCGTCCATAAATATGAAGAGGCTGTGAGCACTGTCGAAAAAACACCGTCTACTTGGAAGGCCAAGCTACCTTTCGAGTGGTATCGGAGGAAGGCGGAACTTCGTGAGAGGAAGGCAGAGTTGATGAAGACAATTCTTGAAATCACTTTACAGTATCGCCTGTGTATGTATCAACTGTAATGATTGTAACAATCCCACTGATCTGTTTGTCTTCAGCAAGACCTTAAATGGTGGGCAACACATCACCGGGTCGATGATGTTTGGGGTGGATCTGTAGTATTTCGGTGGTGAAAGCGGGTGTCTTGAATGGCCTGTCGAGGTGGTTTCAGGAGATGGAACTGTATCAACTGTTGTACGATCATGCAATGTGGCACTTTTTCTAGTATGGCGCACACGCACGTAAAGCTCATTGGTCGCCCTTAGCCGAGATGGCCGTGAGACATACTGGGTCTCCGACAACCCCTTGATGTACCTCCAACTATCCGTGCTCTGATTGCAAGTGGATCAAGGTCTGAAGGTCATGTATGATCTGCATACCATTTTTGCTCCACAGCTTTTCTCGATGTGCATCATTTCAATTATTATGATTTCAGAATTACAGTATGTAAACACATGGGACGTATCTGACAACCTTAGTCGCTCTAGCTGGTCACGGTGGATGCTGGATAAAGATTTGTCAAAAGACTTGGCTGTCGACAGATAACAGGTCAAAGGTGGATGTGTTAACCCATTGTACGTCAAGCGTTTGGCTACCACCCTGTTCATCCCACTCCCATCGTTCTCGTTTCCACTCCACACGATTCAAAGTCAAGACTTACTCTGGATGCATTATCTCGAACGGCTGAGAGATGACGCCATTAATGAACAAAGGAGAAGACGGATTGCAGACTATCTGCGTAAACTTGTGCCGCTGGATGTCACCTACGCTGCGGTCTCTGGTGGATACCAGCACTACGACCACTCCATGCGTGTCTGACAAATATACGAGCACGGCTGAGATCATGAATAAGCCTAAAACACTTGCCTGTCTGATCAGTCCAACGACAACGTCCCGTGTCTGTGAGCTTGCAGCGACGGACGGCAAGATTAATGGCATTCATCGCTGAGCGTCAGGATGTCGGCGTGCAGTGACCATTGATATTGGCGATCCATTGCAGGGCATAACCATGTCGATTCTTCAACTGACCCGGGGAATTACCGAGCTGCCAGTTAACAGTGAGTGTGTCGATTGAAGATTCGCAGTCGCGCTCGTGCTATACGGATAGAAGAAATATCCCGTGCTTCAAGTTTCAAAAGGGAGTGGTTGATTGTGATGCCTTCATACTAAGAACGTGGTGGGATGGAGGATGAAAAAGACGCATGCGGGGGAGGTATAGCTGTTGGCACGATCCTGAAATAACACTCACCGCCATTTTCTTTCCCTGCTGTCCTCCACCGGCGCATCATGCTACAACTGCGCGCGCAACAGGTGAATCAACGGGTAAGTATGCCCATCCCAAGAACTTGTAGCTTTTATTCTTTGAGAACCACTTTGCCTTGCGAGTTGAACATGGAAGCAGAGGATGAACAGGTGCAAGCCGCGAGGTCGACGACGCGTCAGATGAAAACGAGAATGAAGACCCGTGTCGTGGGGGTGAGGAATGACGGGTATTGGTGGAGCGGCGCGAGGCAGCATTGTTGAATCTTGATAGTTAAACTTGTTTGATCAATTGGGTGTATTGAATGGTGCAGATAATGAGTATGACTGTAGGTTGGCCGAAGGAGCAGCGGTATTCGCCAAGAGGTGCTGTGGTTTTGACGCGGACGCCCCAGTGTGCTGAAGTTCATTTCTAGGTTTTGGGTTTGAATGAACAGATGAGTTGAGGACAGCACTCAGAGCTGAGTCTAAGTTCTTCCAATCACCACACGTGAATGCAGGTCTGCTCGTGTGAAAATTGGGCGCAAGTTGAGCAAGCAAACCCGATTGTCTATTACTCTCATTATACATACATCATCGACGTAGAACTACTAATGCATCTCTCATCTTGAATTTTATGATTCGTGTCGTTGTGCGCCTACCGTGACATTCAGCGGATTATTCGCAGCGCTCCGACTCTGTCCCAACTTGCATATCCCACCCTTACCGATGCATACGGCGAATATCGACATCGATCCTACAGCCGAGTCATTTCAACATACCTCCCTAGAAGATTTGTACTTGACCCAATCTGACGTAGCGGATGCTGAAGCTATCGCACGTATCATTTTCTCAATGCTCCCTTCTGTTGACTACGTTCGCCCGCATAACTTTGCTGGTCGCATCTGGGACGAGGTTCAAAGGCATCTTGAATCTTTTAGAGCTTCTGCGGTGTTAGCTGCCATATCACAGGAATAACCTAGAATATCTGAGTTCGAGATATACTCATGTCAGGCAATGCTCTGCAGTTACTACCGTACCTTCAGTGGTCATTCAAGATGCTGTTTACTGTTGTTACAATTGTTTTCTCTATATATCATGTCACGGGAGCGGCCTCGAAGAACTGATTTCGGGATATACTCATGCTGGGGCAATTGTCGATCTAGCAGTCGATGTCATACCTTCATACCTTGCTGCCGTCACTGTCGTGGCTGTTTGCTATGGTTGGAATTTAATTGTTTTCTCCCTTCTGACCATCGGATTGCTATATGGTATAGGTTCCTGCCACACATGGATATGAAACATGAAGGGTCTTCATGCGCTCTACGGCTGAGATGAAATTATTGTCTCGCTGCTGACCGTTCGATGTGGCGATATCCATACAAATGATAAACTGTTGAAATCCTGCAAATACTGAGACAACACCCGCACAAAATCCTACACAAAAAAAAAGAATCAAGTGCTACACATTTGCCTCTTCCCATGGTTCATCTCGTGATGAACCCACAGCTGGAATCTGTGCCCGAAGTTCAGAAATTTCCTCTGCATTGATACTATACAATTGCATCAGCTCGATGATTTTATCCAAGGTATTGCGATCCGCGCGTTCCAGGAGTGTCAATCCCCTATCATACTCCTGGATCCGAGTATGAACTTCTCCGCTAATTGGTGAGGCAAGGAAGGAAGCGATCGCGAGCTTGATGGCCCTGCGAGAAAGTTCCTGGCTTTCTGACACGAGATAAAGTGTCTGCAAGACGAGGGTCAAGTCGATGATATAGCACATGAAGCGCCGAAGAACCGCGTGGCTGTGAAGGAAGTGTCAGTATTCTTTCGCTCAATGACAAGTAGCGGCACTACATACGACGTCTGGTACACGTCGTGAGCCCATGCGGCGAATACGACACCTGCCGCGATTGGCACTACAATGGGAGCCGCAGGTCCTGACAAGGCAGACACGATGCCCGCAATAGTACCCACTATCGAGAGACCAACAACACTGAACATTGGTTAAGATTAAATTTCATCGTTAGATGATAAAACGACCCACATGGTCCTGCTGGGATCAGCTGTAGGTTCATCATCTAGCTTATCGACCATGTTCACCATCAACGTCCTGAACTCTGAGCTGTACAAGTACTGCGCATAAATCATGTCAGAATGGATGCGATGACAACAAATAAATGAGACATTACACGATGAGGGTCACGGAAATTCCACACCGCGACGATATCTGTGTGAAGCACATTCAGACACTCCCGCGTCCTACGGTTTTTAAATGCTGTGCTCGATGCCAGCGCCTTCCAATATCCTGTAGCACATGAAGGTTCAGTTGTGCTCTGTAATCAACAACATGAAATTGAAACAGACTTCGCTTGCCAACCCTGACAATATGTAAATTGCGAAATAAGAACCACGCAAGCAAGGCTTACTCGATTGATGCACTTATTTTGAGTCCAGGATCCACGCGCTGAGCGATGGAGGTCATCACTGACGCTTCGGGCGCAAAATGCTGACGGACGAGGTTTTCAGTCATCCGGATCAGATGAGCTCGCGTTTCCTTATGGGTTTCTTTCGCTGCGCTCATACGTTTCAGAGGCACGCATGAATTGGTCAAATCACTGGTACCCACTAGAGATCGCAGTGTAAGTTATATGGCGCCCTGCAAATTTCTGTAGCGGTCGGATGCAGATATCCTTTAGCTCGGCATCTGCTTTTTTCTTGACAAGTTTCTTGATGGCGTCCTCGCTCAACCTTTTGAGAGAGGAGCTGTCCAGAGTACGATCCACGCGGTCGATGAGCATATCATATTTCGTGAAAACGACGACGACGGGAACTTTGGACCAGGGTTAGCGGTCACCTGCGTGGAACGATGACAAACGTACTATTTCCGAGTTTTCCGTCGCGCTTCAATGTAAGGAATGTCTCCGTGCCAGTCTCCAATAAACGCCCGCCTGCACGGGGTATTTCAAAGCAAAGCCTTCCGTATATTTCGTCAGCTTGGGATGAGGAGTGGTGAGGATGGAGAGCCCACCAAACAGCATGCAGCTGATCTTTCAAAGCAGGCTCGGATATCCTATGTTCAATGAAATCTTGCACTATTTTGACGTTATCCTCGTCCCCTGGTTCAAAACCTTTACTATCATGGAGAACAAATCTGTCGTTCTGTTGGGAGATATACTCGGTTTCGATGTTAGCTTCGCCCGGCTTTTCATGCGAAGTGAGCTATAGAGATAACATCAGCGACTTACTGTGTTTGAGATGATGAGCAGCCTACCGCTTTATCCACTCCGAATGCCTGATTGATCAGCGAAGACTTGCCAACGCCCGTCTATTGTAAGCAAAAGTGTGAATTACAAGCCTGAGATCAAACGAAGACTTAATACCTTTCCTATCACTAGAATTCGGAACCTTTCAAAGTGAGTCTCTGGCGTCAACCGAAGAATGTCACTCCATGGTTTTCCTGACTCACCGAGGACAAATTCCAATGATTTCGTCAGTGGTGGACTGGAGCGTTGGATTTTCATCGGAAGAAGTGACGGGCTGCTCAACTCGCTAACCACAACTTAGATGAGTTCCAATGCACGACATTGATCCTTACTTCGGTTGCTGTATTCCCGGAAAGCTCAATAACGATCTTGATTTTCTTATGAAACCTGGTATATTCTGTGGATGTGACATTGAATCTGTGAGTGATGAGGGCGAGAGCGCGATGAGTATTTGCTCGACCTTGTCTCTCGGCTTCTCCTCTTCCACTAGACACACGAAAGATGTCTTCGGTATCGAAACAAATATCTTCATGCTCGGTCTTCATCCCAAACCGGCTCTTGTGCCTTAGATGTAACGAAAACGAATCCCCAACAAAAAGCTCCCTAATTATGACGAAATGTAATAGCAATTCAGATCCGGGAAAATTCGTCTGGCTCGAGTGCTTACATGGGTGGAGAAAATTTCTGTCGCGAAGACATTCCTGCTTCGCGTTCAATCGTCCTGTGCAACTTGCCAATCTGTATTTCAGCAGACTCTACATTCTTGCCCGACTTGCTGAAATCGACGGAGACACCTGTTTAATATATTTAGTTGGATTGATCAGCTGATGTGAGAGTTAAGTGGTACCAGAGATGTGGAGGGGACAGGGAATGTGTGAGGTATGGCGAGAGTTTGCCATGCCAACTCGAGTTGGGAAACTTGTGAGCGCGGGAAGCTTACAGAATTACTTATGTGGAACGTACTAGTAGGCCATCATGCCAGCTGCACCTTCGTTCACCGTGTATGCCTCATGGTCAATGGAAGCATGTCACGGCACATGCCACCAAGGAACCAATATGTCGGAAATTCTTTTACGGCATTCTGATGGATTAAAATGGCCTAACGACACGGCCCAATTATAATAGTCTATGCGTTGCTTACTGTTTTCGTGACGGGAAAGAAGACAAATAGATTTGATCAAATGCAGTGTGATTTTTACAAATAGTAATTAGAGTCTGTTCGGGATCACGATTTCGCCCAACTTCGAGAAATTCAGAAAAGAAAAAAACAACTTAAGTAAGCATGCCGGTGTGCCGTGTGCCCTGGTCACAGTGTGACATCTTCTTATCGATTCAATCATGCCCTCGACACGAAACTCATCAGCGCGATACTCTCTCCGGTTCCACCCAACTATGACTAAAGGAAAAGGTAAAAAGAAAGCAGCCACTGACAGTCAGGAAACTGCCGCACCAGCAAAAGACCGCTGCATATGGTCTCTGGATGATGAGAGGAAGCTCGTGGAATACGCTGTACAACACCACGCCAAAGGTGGCGATGGTATGAACTTCACCAAATCGTTCTGGGTTGGTGCCGCCGCCGAGATGGCAACACGCCCATGCCCCGAAGGCGCTCCCAAGACACCCGAAGCCTGCCAATCCAAATGGACTCGGGTAAGTACTATTGTTGTATTGATACATGTGCCGTTACTGATATAATTTAATGTATCTCTAGATCAAAAAGATGTATCAGGTGGTCGACAAAATCGCTAGCCATGCCTCGGGGCTATCATTCCACCCGGAATTAGGAGCCAACATCAGCGAAGAATCAGAGACTATGTGGGCGGACTTTATCAAGGTCTTTTTTCGTCTATTTCCCCTGCTCTACCTTACTAATTATTCACGCAGCATAACCCCTCAGCGAAGCCTTTAAGAAATAAAGGCTGGTCACATTACGAGGCGCTGCGAGGGATCATTCCGACACACACGAGCAGCTGGGTTGGGTTTCATGCCGGCACGAGCCTCACCACAAACACGTCGACTCCTACAGCAACTGGTAGCGACATAACTCAAAATACTACCGCCGATGCCCCCGCCGATGTCATGTCGTCACTGGAGAACGCGCTCCATCAGGTCGAGTTCCGCGATCTCGATCTCGATGATGACGACATGCGCACCACCCCAATACCGAACGATACCCCACCTGTCCCCGCGCCTATCCTACCTGTCCCCGCGCCTATCACACCTGTCACGCCAAGAGGCTTCAACGCTGCAATGCAGCCTTTTGTTGCCCCCTCGATTTCCACGCCTGGTTCATCAACCGCAGTGAAGCGCAAAGCCGACGGGGACGATAGTGAACGATACGCGTCCCGCCCTCCACACTCTTCAAAAGCAAAGAGTGCGTCAGGGTCGTCGAAATCACAACGTCTCACGCTGCCGCTGGCTTTGGAAGGGTTGGGGGATAAAGTGTCCGGCGAAATATCTACCGCGTCATCCACACTTCAGGACGTCATCACAGCCCACATCATGGAGCCCGTTCCATCCCGCAAGCGGCGCGCCATGCTTCGAGTCCAAGAGGAGAAGGACTTGGATGATTATGACGCTTTTGCAATGATCAGGCTGTTTCAAGCTGACGTCACTATCGCTGACGCGTATAATAGCATTACAAGAGATGGTATTAGGAAGATATTTTTAGCGCAGCACCTGCAGGAGGCAAGGAGAGTGCGCGCGAACGAACAGCAACTTTTATAATACCTTTACAATACATCTGCGCGCAATACAATACTTGAAGTTGACAGAAAACATCATCATGATTGGGCAGCAAAGACAAGATACATTGTACATAGGACTAGATACCTACAGCAAAAAAATGACAATATTATTCAGTTTGCACCAGGTGGCACAGGTGCTCCTCTGCGCCGCCTTTCCGCAAGGTAGTCATCCCACATCGACTGAGAAATCTCGTCATGAACATCGTGTGCACGAATGCGTGCTGCTTCAGTGGGAGGTCCATCGGCGAGTGTGCCGCTATCATAGTTACCGCTCCACTCATCCGCCTCCACGTCACGATAGTCGAGTAATTCGTCTGGGTCGTGGATGCGGATGACATTGTGTACGAGACACAATGCCGGAGGGATGCGGGCCTGTATGTCGGAATTGTACTCTGGAGGGAGCCGAAGTATACGAAAGCGGTTTTTGAGGACACCGAAGATACGCTCGACGACATTGCGGAGCTGCGCGTGGCGTAGGTTGTATAATTCCTGGGCATTGCAAGGCCTGCAAAGATTGTAAGTACTGTGCCAGGGTGATAAGTCAACTCACTGCAACATACACCTGATTTGCGCGGCCCCATTCAGCAAGGTGGTAGCGGACACCACGATAAGGCACGAACAATTCGTCGCATGCACCAAATCCAGCATCCGCCAGGTAAACCTTGCCTGGAGGGATTGTAAAATCAGTGAGACGTGCCACGTTGTAGACACGAGCGCCCGCTGCGGATCCTTGAAAGCCGCTCAACATGTACGTGAAACGCATGTCGAAGTCGCATGCAGCAAGGCAATTTTGAGTTAAATTGCCTTTGCGGTCACGAGCGGCATCGCGATCAGCAGCTGAGGGATGGCAATTGATGTGCGTGCCGTCAATAGCGCCGATAACGTTTGCGAAGTACGGGTATAGTTTCGTTGTCTCAACAATTTGAGGGGGTATCGGAGTGTCTGCGTCGGGGAGCCGGACGTAAGTGGAATAGATTGGGCGGGAGGAGAATGCGATGAGAATGCGTTTGAAGTATCTGAAAGGAATAAAATTAGTACGCATAGCTAGGGGTAAGAGTGGGGGGACGCACTTCGATATAGTATCGTTTGAGCGCTGGAAACGCTCAGCAAGGTGGCGTACAGAAATGCCTGTAACGCAGGCATATAGGAAGATGGCTAGCTGCTCTTCTAGGGTGACGTGCTTTGAGTCGTTGATCCCGCCATTGCGAAGTAATTGAAGTAGGATGATGAATACGTGGTGATGCACGCCGAGCTCACATCGAATCCGCTCTGGATGGCCATTCAGCAGTTCGTTGACCCAGCCAACCCCCGTCAGGATTGACGTGTGATAGGGTTGTTTGTCGTAGTAGGTAGTAGTGTATGCGTTTACAGCGATCCCCGCAATGTTGATGACTTCGGAAGCCGACGAGACCACGCGCTGAAAGAACTGAATGATGGCTTGGAGAAATTTTAAGTCGGATTGTTCAGCGTCTTCTACACTCTCCTCCAAGTCCTCATTAGACTCATCTTCCTCATCTCCTTGGTCCTCCTCATCCCTCTCATGATCCCTCGAGCCTGATGTTGTTGAATCCTCGTCATCGACCTTGTCACGGTATAGCAAGAGGTTGGAAAGCATGGCCGCGGTGTGCGTATACTACACGCGCATATTGATAACAACTGATCAGCGTGACATCGGTTTCAAGCTCCGATCAGGGCGTGCTTACTTAACATTGTTTTTTTCTTTTCTGAATTTCTCGAAGTTGGGCGAAATCGTGATCCCGAACAGACTCTTAGTGATGCTATGGTGCTATTTGGGCTCAAAACCCGAAGGGTTTTATGACCCGAAACACAGTTTCGAATCTGCGTAAGTGTCCAGGGTGAGCCGTGAGGGCGGGATGGGCCACAGCAGCTCACGGAAAGTGATTTTGCGCTAGAAAAATTACGGTTATCGAAACGGTGCGTCGAGTATGGTTTACGCTAGAATGATGTACCTGGGAAAGGATCTTTATATAAAGAAACTTCGTTTTGGAACGAGACGCTTGTTGCTGCTAAAGGGGCATGGAGGGCGGGTGCGACGAAACGAGAGTGTAGTCGATCTGAAGAGAACTTGCAAGTAGTACGTAGTGGTATGAAGCAAGAAAGGTAAAGTCCCGAAAAGCTGTGCCGCCGCGTAGACACAATTCTATGAAGTTTTCATGCCTCAAACTTTCATAGAATATAATCTATGCGTTGCTTACTGTTTTCGTGACGGGAAAGAAGACAAATAGATTTGATCAAATGCAGTGTGATTTTTACAAATAGTAATTAGTGATGCTATGGTGCACCAGTAGCCGTGGTATTGATATATTACTCACTGGTAGTGTAGTGTAAATGTGATACAATAGTTGCTCACTGCCATAGCTCCCAGTGATATATGAATCTATTACACCTGCAGCTCCCTCTAGTTCCCTGCTCCAAGCGCTATTAGCTGATTCATCTGAGATCTATGGTATGTGACTTGAGATCCATCATAGATGGTCTCGTTTTTGGCATTCTGCGATCTGTGATCTCCGCCCTTACCATTCTCCAGTGTTGCTTCTTTCCCCGCGTTAATATTAAGAACAATCACGCGATATATGTATATTTATAACTGCAAGGGAGCGTCAATAGTAGGTGTATCTACCTCTCCGCTCTCTGGAATCAGGACACCACCAGAGACAAGGGTAGGCACATCACTCCACAGCCTTTGAAACTTGGCTATCAGCAGCACACGCAGTGCAGACTGGCGACACGCGTACGCTGACAGTCCCTCTTGTGCAGGTGCTGAGTTGAGCGTTCGAAGAGTTACGCGCTCCTTCCACCAGGACCCTTGCCATCTCAAAAACACCAGCACTCGTCTCATCTCTTCTAGCAATAACTCCACCTCCTCCGACCACCGGTGTGCGCGGGCACGAGCCTTGCACCATTCCAAGCGGACACCTATCAAAATGTCAGATAAATGTGAGTAAAACATACCATACACTTACAATCCTGTATGTGTTCATTTTCTGTACAGCTGTTATCAGCACGGGAGTCTAACCAAATCCAGGAGATGGTTCCTCTCCCTTGCTGCTCCATGTCACCCATAGGCTTAACATCAGAGTCAAGAAGTGGGCGCATGGTGAGCTCCCAACCGCACTTCTCCAGACGGTGGCCAAGAGACAGCAGGGCACTGCGCGCACGTCTGTACTTCAATACACTGGCGTGCTTCCTCGATTCCACGGCATCAATGATTTTCTTGGCGCGAGTGGAACCCGCTTGACCACGGACATTTTTATCCTTGTACTTGTACATGTGGGATCGAAGCCGGAGGTGGGAACGAACTTCGTTCAGGGCATCGAGGGCCTGCGCGTAGCGTAGCTCCCACTCGTGGCCAGCGAGCGTCAGGTCTACGGGGGTGCCAGCTGGAAGTTGCGAAGGGAGCCACAGGTTGAAGTCTTCAGGTTTGAGTTCCTGTGGCCTCCCACTAGCCTCTGATGATCAATGCCGGAGTTGACAGACAACCGGCATGTATAGCTCCTGGATGCGGGCCCAGGCATCAAGCCGTCATTGGAGGGAGGCGATTTGAGTTTGTGTTATGGCCTTCTGATTGTCGGTGTCGTGGAGGGACACATTGGCAAGACTGGATCTTAAGCGTGCCCTGTAGAACTGTCAGTATGGCGTAGTGTAACAATGAATACAAAACTTACTGTTGATCCTCGAGATCCATGCCCGATGTAATCAATCCGCTTGGAGAGACATCGGTGTGAAGTGAGACATTGATTCCAGCTTGAAGGTCTTGAGCTTCAAGCTCAGTGAGTTGTAGTCGTACGGATGCCTGTGTAACCGCTACCATTTATTAGAACAACCACTGCAAAAACACCAGGATCACTTACGGTTAAACCGGCTTTCAAAGGGGTTCGGAGAGGAGTTATCCTCCTCCCAGGATTCCACCTCTGCCTTCCACTGCGCGATAAGAGCCGGCTGAATAGTCTTCTCCAGTTCCGAGAGGGCTTCGGAGTGCTCCTTCGTCCACTTTACAGCTTCAATCATCTTCTTATGCAATGTCCGCCCTAAGTCTATGTCAGAATTTGAGACTGAAAGAAAGAAACCGCTCACCTAATGCTGTAATTTTTTTCCAGTTCCAATCACCGAAGTGATCGTCAAGAGTGTCCCGGCGTGCTCCCGGTCCCATTTCCTTGGTACTTGATGCCACTCGGTTTATATTGGACCAGCCCCGTTCAGGGGCTTCGCCATCTGTTCGGCCCACGTACCTCGACCAGTTGAAAGAGAAATTGGTGCGACACTTATCGATGTGGGCCTGGATGTGGAACTTCGGCACAAAAACACGTATGAGGGAAGATTCGCGGGGGGGAGAAAGTCGTTCCGGCATCGTTTCCATTCGAGTCCAGAGTCTCTTGTGCCACTGGCAGGCGATGTCGTAGGATATGTTGATCATGGACATCGCGAGGATGAAGAGCGCAGAACACATGATATAGTCCATATTAATGTACCTGAGTAACATCAGCCTTAAAACATTCCAAATGCAATATAATACATACCGTTCACCCTTCTGCAGGTCTCCAACTCCGTTTGGGAGCTTCATATCGTGCCTTGCGCAGTCGATCGTCCCAACTCCTGTTGCAGCAAGCCCACGGGAGGACTTGGTATCCGCCATGTTAACTGCATTGTGGCTTACACACGTGCTTCGCTACAGAAAAAGTCTAAGTTGAGAATTATCATTGAAAACATGTTACTTACCTCTTGCTTGTCGGAAGCACGATCTGCAAGGTAAGATTTGTATGAGTCTTCGTGCACAAAATACGCCCATCCAGCATTAAGGCTAGGGTCAGCAGTGTCAGAAGACACCGCCTTGCGCTTCAATCTAAAGTTCGCATCGATTGCAACAAACAGCGCATATTTCCATCTGCTCAGATAACGTGTGAGCTCAGCAAAATCAGGGAAAGACGACCAACATCTTACCTGGTAAATAGAGGCTCCTTCTCCCAGTCTAGTGGAAGATTCTTCCCGGGCTGTGGGCACGCGGGGCAGAGAACAGCTAACTCTCCTTCGGCAGTAGCATTGACACCAGCGGGGTCGTGTCCCCTTCCTCCGCGGGAAAGTTGCTTGAGGTTACGCCATTGGCGTACCATCCGCATGAAAGCGGAATAACGATCCTAGAATATATCATCATCAGACAGTTGCAGGAATAAATTAAAATACTCACCCTGATCGCTACTAACCCTGAATTGTCGGTGTGCCTTGCGAGCGACTGGTAGAACTCGTAAGCAGACACCTTGCTTTCAAAGGATAGAATATGAAAATGCTGCAGAAACCGTAAAGGTTGCTGCAGTTCGAGGCTCTGAGACTGTGGCTGGATACCACCGCATACGTAACAATTGTTTATACCGAATCTGAGCCGAAGCGCAGCCACAAAAGTCCAGGGCGATTTCATGAATACCATCGAGCGCGATGACCACAAAATCATCACCGGCAGCGGGAGAAGGTTTGTAGCACCTTTCTCCTGGGTTATGGCCTAGTTTGTACCCGAACCCCGAGCTGTTTGAGTGTGATACGCTGAAAAAAAGTCCCATTCCATATCTGACAAGGATCAGTCATACGTTGATGCCCAAAATAAGTATGAAACACACCTCAATCCTATGCAAAGGATGAAGAACGTGGTTTTGAAGTGTACATTCACGGCAGAATATTTGAATGCCATGGCAGTCACGCATCGGACGTTGAGGGCGTATACTGCCACCACATGAGCAAGTGACACCTTCAGTCCCGCGTCCATTGAGGCGCAGCATTTCGTCCAGGAGATTTGACGTTTGTCCAATCCAGGCGAGCAAGGTCTGGTCCTTAAGTCCAATAGTTAGCATGCCCAAACGAATATCAAATGAGAACACCCACTGCCGCAGTCTCTTTGCGCTTCTCCGTGGAACAAATATCAACAATGTCGTCTGTAAGTGTTTCGTCCTCAAATTGACAGTCGCTGGGATGCTCAACGCGGTCATCTATCCAAAATATGTTGTCGTTTGATGAATTTTCGGGGGGAATTCCAGCAACATAGTGTGTTTGCAGCCGTGTGCTCCCTTCAGCGGTAATCTCTGCTGCACGAAGTCGTAAAAGATGAGGTTCGGGGTTGATAGAGACGGGGACAAAAACCTCCCGTTCAAGTGCAGGCCTCTTGGGGGGGCGACCACGGGGCATTGTGCACTGTGGTTAATCTGTCAGCTCAGTCGGGTAGTCAGAGGATCCTCCATTTGTAATTGGAGGATCCCGCCAGTATATAATAATGGACAAATTTGTCCCTCCTCACCCACCTCGTGAATCATGGTAACACCATTGAATGATAATGCCATCCCACCGGCAACCGTTGAATACTTGTTGCGCCCCCGTCGAAGTGAGCCACTTGATAGTGATATCTTGCCACATACCTGACATTCAAAAACAGACCACAATCCGCCCCCAGCACCTGTGTCTTCGGAAATTCGTTCATACATAATGCGATATAATCGAACCCCAACCAGAGGGCCGATTTTCACGCCTGTGCAGAAGGACTGGTTGAAAGATCATATACCACAGTATATGCAGTGGCCTCCTACCTCAGATGAGACGATCACATTCGTACAGACCATGCTTATTGATTTCGACCACATGTGGCCTCTTCACCAGAAGTTGTGGCCCGGGTCGAATGTTCACATTTTGCTAACCGACAGCATGCATGCCAAATTGACGGCGGAGATGCTGATTCTTCGAGGGGTAAGTCAGCTGTGCACGTAATATGCACTATGACTGACCTTGATGCAGAATATCAAGGGCCACATGCTGTGGACAACGCGACGTAATCTGCGTCGCGAGAAGAATCGAACGGGAATTGAGCCGCGGAAATGGTTCTGGTACTGGGGTGTCGGGCAAGCTTAGAAGATTGGTGGATAGTACTAGAGAATCCACTTACCTGCTAGACCATACATGAGAGCTTGAGCGCGATATCAGTGATTGATGATCCCCGATTCCGATGTTGATGGAAGCTGTGATGGATTTGCCAAGATTAGTCAGCTGGTGCCACGTGGATTACTAATATCTGGCACTTTGCAGTGATCCGCCATTTCCCAAATCCAAGGAAGTCATCCCATCCTCCATTTCTTGGACGTCCGACCCCGCCGGCCTATGGAGTATAAATTCAGAACGTGGTGAGTGATACATTATCTATCTATTCAAGGTACTCACTTAACTCACTCCCATGACTCAGAAACTGCCTTCCTCCAGTCGGACAGATACCATGGTATCTGTCCGACTGGACGGTCTCATCAATCTTCTCCAGTGTCTTTCCCTCGACGATCAAAAGACACTATCTCAGGCCTTAGACATTGGCACGGACACGGGCACCGATGGTGATACATCCAATGGTGAATCCGTTGATTCTTTTATATTTCATTACTCATGTAGCTTTGGCAATGTTACAGATAACATCACCGTCAGAATGGGCCTGGGCCCTGCCGCTGGCAGCACCGAAATGGCATTGGCTGCTCTTCCCGCTGTCTCTGATGACCCCCCTGCTACAACCATTGACAGTCCCAGGGAAGCTGCACCAGTTGCTTCTCCTGGCGCAGCTGCTGCCCATAGTGCTGGCACCACTCCTACTTCTGCCCCCGCAACTGCACATGCTGCTGCTCTCCACTGTGGTTGTTCCTGCAGGGCATGTCACTGTCTATGTCGATTACGAGGAAAACGACTCCTCTGATGACGAAGATGCGGCTGCTGCAGCTGCTGCACTTGCGAATGATTCCACATTGATTCATTACCGCGATACCTACTTCAATGTCCCAGTTGATGCCACCCCGCCGCTCTATTATGTGACTCGAGGTCGCTACATCGGCATCTTTTCAGGCTGGTGAGCTGGATTTTCCGAATTTCTCATGTCTAGTAGCTCATTTCTTCATTGTAGGGATGCAACCGGTCCCAAAGTGCTCGGTGTCTCTCGAGCCATCTACCACAAGGTGGATTCCATCGAGCAAGGGATAAACATCGTGAAGGGTGCAATTGATCGCGGTGATGCTTCGCAGGCCTTGTAGCACATGATTATTTAGTGAATTTTGTGTATGTCCATAGCTGTCGCAAAATGAACGGTTTTTCTTGAATGTCGGTGTGCTTCGTCTGATCAAAACATATTGCAAACAAGTATTACATTAATGAGAGCATACAAGCGCCATGCCTATCAAGAACATTAAACTTAAGATATAAACCCTACACTGTAGGCATGATATTCGTAGAGTTCAATTTTGAAGGATGGTAAGAGAATGGTAGGATAAATTCGCATAAAAATCCAAATTAATCTCCTACGTGAAGCCATTCAAAACTCCTACGCATATATTGAGTGCCTCAACTGGCTTACTTTCAACCCACTTTTATGCACATGGCACGACCACGTCTACACAACACTAAAGAAGAAAAGGCAGAAGCTGCACGCGCTTATAAACGAGCTTACTATGCACGGTACTTCACTCACTTTATTGTTATTTCTCTTAATGATGGTGGACCCACTGATACTACAGTCACCGCGATAAGCTATGTGCGCAAAAAAAGGAGATATACAAGGGGAAGGAAGATAGGTAAGATACATACCAGCCACTTGAATATCTGAACATCTGACTCGAGGTCACCTAAGTTCTAGGCTGTGTGATAGGCCTGTCACTGTAGGAAGGCCACGCTCACACCATACAGCTGAGGAGAAAATTGAAGCTGCACGCCGATCCCGGAAAGCCTATTATGCTCGGTATGTCATTGAAATATCAATGTCTCAAACCATTGAACATTCTATACCTAGTAACCGTGAGGAGATCCGTATCAAATATCAAAACAAATCAAATTCAAAGGCGTACGTTTCTCGCACAACTATAATATTGTCACTTACCTGATCGCCCAGCTTGGACAATACCAGTAGCCTCAAACCGGCGCGCTCAGTACGAGATGCACACAACAAACGCAAAAACAAATGGTATGTTATTTCATTTCGCAGTAGTTCATAAGGCTAAATGATCTCGATCAAGGGCAAGGCAATGCGATGACATCGATGCCAGCCTGCAGGTCCTTATTGGGTCATCGTCAAGCACAGCATTGGTTGAGGGCCTTTGTGAGCTCTTCATAGCAAACCCGGATAAGCCAGATTCGTTGGACGTCCTGCGGTCTGCTCACAATGGGTTGGAAGACCTCCTTATGCGTGCGCAAACTGTAGAAAACGATGTTCTTGAGGAATGTGGGACAGGGCAGGACCTCAGTCGGGCACATAGTTCTGTGTCTCATGTGCGCAGGGTTCTGGCTGACTTAGAAGACGTGTTTAGTCATGCCATGTTAGGTGTAGACTCCTTAGTTGAAGCGCATGAACAGCATAGACTACATCATCAACTTACCCAACACAATGTTATTCCTTAGTAGCCCAAAATACAACTAGGTAGTATAGAACTTGATTCAACACCTTTTGAAATCAGAGCGCTCGGTGACAATCGGAAAATTCCGAGCTTGGAAAACTGTATTGGCATTACGCATTAACCTTGGCATCAAACAGTGACAACGCGTACGGAACCAAAAAAAAAGGTATGTTATGACGAAATGGATTTAATTAATTATAGTCATATGTGATGGCATGCTAAATGTAACACGAATAGATGGCGCCGCGTACATGGCTGACGCAGGAGGAACTGGCCTTCATCGCAACTTTTGAGGATGATTACCTCGAATGCCAAAAGAAGGGGAACTATACCACTTTTTGGCAACCCTTCTTCGAACAATGGGAGGAACGATGGCCCGCGAGGGCTTCCTTGTTTCCAGGTATTCCTATGGATCAAGTTCTCACCGCGGCTCAATTAGAGGAGAACGAAAAATTCAAAGCCGCACTTCAGAAGGTCTATTTCTTATTTTTCATGCATGGTATTGGGGACTTACATTGCATCCAGCGCCTGACGGTCAAATTCCGTAATGATTATGGTAATTCAAAGCCTGGCCGCAAAGCGGCTGCAGCGGGCAATTCGGCTGTCCACAAACTTCTCAGCAATATCGTTAAGGGACCCACAGCTGGTCGGAAACGTCCTCTCAAGGAAAGCGAAGTCTACGCTAAAAAGTATTATACTACTCGAGTCCAGGCCAGCGTTAAAGATGAGCTAAAAGCCATCAAAGAACAACCTGACGTCCCCGATCCCAAGAAGACGAACCTTCGGGTGATCCGAAAGCATGTTGACCGCTGCTGGGAGAATGAGTCCGTTGAGGTGAAAGAGGAAATCTCTCAACTTACGAGAGAGATGAGGGAAGCAGCGCGCGAGGCGGCGAAGGGGAGGAAATCATCTGAGGTGACCAATGATCTGTAAGTGTTATCTTCATGCCTGTTCCTTTGCTGATTGAAGACAGAATTATACCGAGACTTACAGAAATTCTCTCAACTTTCTTCGGAGAGCTTCATGAGGCCACAGGATGGACATTCAGCGTCCTCCTCGGTGGCCCTGACCCATCAAATGGGGGTGCGATTGATGTCAGCAGCTTACATGTAGGGTCAACGAAACTCGGTAATCGATTTAACCACGCGTTTTCTAACGATAATGTTATGCTGCCCTACTACGAGTTTGTGTCTCATGTTTTCCGTATGTATCCAACTATTTTTTTTTCAAACATTTCACTGATAATATATAGCTGAAGCTGGGACTTCAAATAAAACACCCGCTCCAGACGATATGCTTACAAACGATGATCCTCCAATGCCTATGCCTGTAGCGCCTGATACATTACATGGTTCAAACCCCACATCCCAAGAGGCAGACTTGGCACCTATCTTGGCACCTATCTTCCCTCCCACGCACTTAGCGCAAGAAGAGGTAGTTCCTGCGCCACCTGACCTGAGAGCACTTCTACGAGAATTTCTTCCAACACCTGCCCCCCGCTCCTCAAGACAATGAGATCAACCAAGAGCTGGATAGGCCCATCATCCCCATGCCAGAGGGCTATGTACCCTTCTGTCCACCACCGCTAGCGCCACTCACTTTGGACCCTATGTCTTCCCCCACCGCATTTCTTAATCTGGATTCAAATCTCGAGAGTTTTGACGATGCCCTCAAATCCATGCAGTTCCAGAACACCACCACGGGATTGGTCTGTTCTCCTCCCCACCTTCGTTATCAGTTCGACAATTTCATTAGATTCTCGTCGCCTAGCACCACGTCGGTCATCACACCCTCGCACCACAGTGGTTGACATGCCTACCATCACCCATTCACCTGTGGTCAGGTCTTCCACCACACCCACCATCACACCCTCTCCAGCTGCACCCACAACTACCATACCCATCACCACATCCTCAGTAGCTGCACCCACGACTCCTGTGACACTGGGAACAAGGCCTTCGCAGCTTATTTCTGGGGTGGGACTTGATGCTCAAAACCCCAGCAACGTTGTAGATGAACGTCCGGCAAAGCGCCAGAAACGGGCTCAATGCACACGTGCAGGAGAGACAGATCCGCTACAGGCTGTCTCCTCCAGCCGAGGGAAACAACAAAGATTCCAGTCCACTCGAGCTGCTGCCGCCAATGCGATTGGTTAATTATTAGTTGAACACATCTATAAATAATGTACTTGAAATTTCATTCATTGTCTTGAGCTTAACAGTATCATGGTGGCGCGAGCACCAGTCTCTGACTCACATCAAAAGAAATTTTGATAGAACAGCCCTCCGGGCACTTACATAAACAAGGCAAATTCTGATCTGCGCATGAGACAAGTGTCACTGAGTGTAAATGGCGACCGAGGATTGAAAATATGTAAATAATCATTTAGAGAGGTCTCATACGACATGGCCAGTAGGCTCAGACAGACACTAAACTAAGAGTACAGAAAGGTCCTCCTCTAAACCGGACTTGATCAGCGTGTTTGGCATAGAGCGGCTTAGGTTTGCAGTCTCAGCTCAGACTGCAAACCTCACCGGTTGGACAAAGTAAAAATGCTGTGTGGGCGTTGAGTTAGTTTGATATATTCACTGAAAATTGAAATGTACGCAATGGTACAGTAGTGAGCCTGCAATTCACTGTGCGACAGGTGCAGAGGCATTTGGAAGGTTGAGAGGGCGGTGGATGGCGCAATAGCCTAGGCTGGTGTGAGTGAGGAGTGGAGGCCGTGGTGGCTTGGCGACATTACTGGAGGGTGCAGTACTAGAAGATGCAAAACGGCAGGGTCCAGGCTGTCAGAGTCCTGCCAGTAAGTAACACTGAAAAGCAAATAATACCTGGTCAGAACACTCGAAAGTCATATATTTACTCACCGAACAGAAAGAGCCAAGAGTCCGAATGAAGATATTGATCTGAGAGCTGGACGGTAGAGCAGGTAAAAATTGGAAGATTCATTGAGTGTCGACTGCACCGTGTTTTGGGTACGATTGTAATGCAAGGGAACTCTCCAAGCCACCCGCAAACTGCCGAAGAACTGTACATTAAGTCAGCTGACACAGAAAGAACAAGGAATAACCAACCACTGAAAATATCAGTACAGCAGGCACAACATAAAAATGAGATTTCAATGCGATAAGCATTTTTTTGAAGCAATTTAGTAGGTTGGGCTTTGGCTCGTTTG